TGTAATTTTCACAAATATTTGTATTTGTGAATTTTTCTAATTTGAGGTTTCTTCACAAACGAGCTCTATTGAAAGATGTGGTTAATCTTGATCGTAATTAGGTTCTTAGTAATTTTCTAATTCAAAAAGAAAGAAGAATAGTGTATTAAAGGTACAAATATTGATACGTTTGGCATATGTTCTTAGTGCGTGTTATAAAAATCATATCTGATGTATAGAAAGGTCCATAAAATTAAATGTTTTTATGAATGTGTGTGTGATACTTGGCCTAGGGCCTACACACTTCTAAAGCCGGCCCTGGAAGTCTTATTCCAAGCTACATTAGAGATTCTTCTATTACAGTTATAGTATATGATGTGGCAAGTGAGTTAGTTATTTATTGGGAAGTGGTTAGGAAAGAGACTCCCACACATTTAAGCTTGTTTTACCATATTCAATATTTTCAGATAACAAAAATGTAGTTTATCAATTTTTATGGCATTTTCTATTGATTGAAGTATGTGTTCTTCATACAAGCGAAAGTTCATGATGTTATCTCTCTTAATATCTGGTCCTAAATTGCCCGGAAATGATATAGATGTCTATTTAGAACCCTTGATAGATGACCTAAACACTCTTTGGCATTTGGGTGTAGAAGTTTTCGATAGTTTTAGAAAGGAAACCTTCAAGTTAAGAGCTATACTGATGTGGACTATAAGCGACTTTCCTGCTTATGGTAATCTGTCCGCGTGCACTGTTAAGGGCTATTATGCTTGCCCCATTTGTGGTCCAGCCACTTCATCTACATGGCTGAAATGTAGCAAAAAATGTGTGTATATGAGCCATCGTCGCTTTTTACCTGATAACCATAGGTTTAGGGATCTTAAGAAACCTTTCAATAATAAAGTAGAGAGAGATGGAGCCCCTGCAACTCTCTCTGGTGAAGAGGTTCTCGAATTGGTAGAAGGGATAAATTATAAGAGTGGGAAGCGCAAGGACGGCAAACGAAAGAGAAGGTGTGATCAGAATGATGGAGGTGTGAACAAATTGTTCAAACGCAAATCAATTTTTTTTAACTTAGAGTATTGGCAGCATTTGCTAGTTCGTCACCTACTAGATGTGATGCACATTGAAAAGAACGTGTGCGAGAGCATCTATGGAACCCTTCTGGATCAATCGAAAAAGTCAAAGGATGGGCCCCAAGCTCGAAATGACCTTAGTCATTTGAAAATAAAGAAACACTTAATCCCTGAAGAAAATTCGAATTCTCTACCTCCGGCACCCTACACCTTGACCAAACAAGACAAACACAAATTCTGTGAAACCATTTTGGCAATAAAGGTACCAGATGGTTATTCCTCTAACCTGAAAAGCATTGTTTCTGATGATGAGAGTCACCTTCAAGGTCTCAAGTCTCATGATTGTCACACCCTGATGCAACAGATACTTCCCTTAGCCATTCGTGACATGTCAGTGGCTGAAAATGTTACCAATGCTATTACTAACTTATGTTTATTCTATAATAAATTGTGTGAGAAAGTGTTGGATATTGATTCACTTGATGAACTAGAGTCTAATCACCACATCACCATGTGTTGTTTTGAGCAATACTTTCTTCCTTCCTTTTTTGATATAATGGTTCATTTAACGGTCCATCTCGTTGCTCAAGTGCGATTATGTGGCCCGGTTTACCTTTGTTGGATGTACCCTTTTGAGAGAAGCATGAAGTTCTTAAAAGCGTATGTCCGCAATCATTACCATCCGGAGGGATGCATGGCAGAATGTTATGCAGCTGAAGAAGCCCTTGAGTTTTGCGCTGAATTTCTTGCAAATCACCAGTCTATTGGATTACCCGTAGATTGTGACAATATCGAGCCAATTGAGAGGCCCCTAGGACGTGGGGATACTAAAATAGTGGACTACTCCTTCCTCGAGCAAGCACATCGAACCGTTCTATTTAATACGCCAGAAGTTTTGCCGTACATACAGTAAGAATTCATTTTATGTTTCTCCATTCTGTCCATTTTTTCAAAAGCCAAATATCTTATTGTTTGTTCATAAATGAAAAAAGGCAGCACATGTTGGAGCTGCAATCAAACTTTGATGGTTGCTGTGAAACAGAGCATTATCGAGTCTTTGTCTCATGGTTTGAGGAGAAGGTTAAATGCTCTTTAATTTTATATTACTGAAAATACATATTTAACACAAATATATATATATATATATATATATATATATATATATATATATATATATATATATATATATATATATATATATATATATATATATATATATTGAACTTTAAATTTATAATGTGTAGGTCCATAATGATATTGCAAATGGTGTGTGTGTTGAGGAAATAGTCCAGTGGCTAGCAAAAAAACCAAACACAACCGTGACAACATATTCACGCTACATTGTAAATGGATATAGCTTTGCAACAAAGGATCGGGATTTGAATTGAGTAACACAAAATAGTGGGGTTACTCTTATAGCAGACATGACTGGAGATTCAAGCATGAATTACTATGGAGTCATTAAAGAAATCTGGGTCCTTCACTACCTCATGACTAAGAGGGTCGTTTTCAAGTGTGACTGGGTGCATAGTAGGCATGTGAAAAAAGACAAGTTGGGGTTCACATTAGTTGATCTAAATAAGATTGGTCACAAAACAGATTGTTTCATATTAGCCTCACATGCAAAGCAAGTTTTTTACGTGAAAGATCAACTTGATCCAAGAAAATCTATAGTTTGTTCAGTTGGTCAAAGGGTCAATAATTCTGCGGATACTGAATGTGATGATATGATCATACATGAGCCCCTAACTTCACAATACCCAATAAATATTCCAGATTCGGGAACCATAGATGATGGTGATAGTCACCATAAACTGTCCTCTCAATGAAATGTCTGTGAGTGCGGAGTGCAATGTTTTTTCTTGTTACAATAAGTGACTCTTTGATGTTACAAATCTTTATAGGTGAATTTTTCAGATTTTCAGTTGTGTATTATTTAATTTAGTGTCTGTTTTGAAAGAACTAATTTTTTTTAATGTATTTCTCTATTTGTATATACAGGATGAAGTCAGCTTCAAAAAATCACAAGAAAGACCCAAGAGATGTAGAGACAGAAGATGATATGGATGACTTGAACGAGAAACCAATTAGGCGACAGAAAACAAAGAAGAAAATGTTGCTTCAGAAATGCACTGATAAGAAAGTGGTGGTCAAAGTGAATGAGTTTGGTGTTCTTGCTGGTAAGGGCTGGACTGAATTGGTCAGTTACATTGGGGTGTTGGTGAGAGATTATGTGTCGATAATGTTTGATGATTGGAGAGCAGTTCCAGAGAAAGTCACCGACGGCATTTGGGGGAATATTCTGGTAAGTAATAAGATATTTATTATATACTAAAAAGTATGAATAGATGTAGCAGTTCCAGAAAAGAAGCATGAATTTGAAAGTTGCCCTTTTTCTTTTCTTTCACTTTATATATTTCATATTAATGTATTACCGAGTAGAAGAACAATGTCATTGACAGTGACACTAGTTAATGTACAGGTTATGAATGGTTATGAATGTAAAAAAAAAGAATGCCTGTATATTAATGTCAGTGAACACTAGTAAAAAAGATTGTTCATTTTAAAGAAAACTTCATTAAGATACAATAATTATGATATTTTTGTTGTAGAATTTGTTTGACTTGCCTCCGAATTCAAGGAAACATGTCTACAGTGCAATGGGAGTTGCTCTAAAAAATTTCAGAAGCACGCTTCGCACGAAGTTCATCTGGAAGTTCAAGAATAATCGCGAGAAGTTACGCTCTCCTCCAGAAAAGTATAAGCAGATCACTACTGATGAATGGAGAATGTTTGTTAAAAAGACATTCAAAGAAGAATTTCAGGTTGTTATAATTGTTAAAGATGTATTATTAAATAGTAATACATTTTTTTTACGGATACTTTATTATTTGTAAATGGTTTTAGGCGAAAAGTAAAAAAAGGAGAGAGAACCGGAAGAAGAATATATATAACCACCGACTAGGATCCACAGGTTATGCGGGGTTAATTGAGAAGAAGGTTTGTCCTCATCTTCTATGTTTTTATTAATTGATGTTTGGTTGTTTGGATGACTATTTTTTATTTTGTCAAAACTGACAGAAAAAAGAACTTGGAAGTAATGCGATAGTCATCGATCGATCAGACACGTGGCTGTGGGGAAGGGAAAAAAAGGGAGGCGGATATGACGATAGTGTGATTGAAGTGGCTAATGAAATCGTAAGTTTTATTTTATTAAAAATGACATATTTTTAACCTTTTAATTATCACTGGTAGCTTACTTTGTTATAAATGGCTTACTTGGTTTCAAATTTATAAATGTTTGATGTATCTCAACTCTGTTGTAAATATATAATTCTGTTACAGATTTAGTATGTATTTTTAACTCTGTTTCAAATTAATAAATACCTTATATTTTTATAAATAAAATCTATAATTGGTAGCTTGTTGTGCTTCTTGAAATCCAAAGTCATTGTTTATACTACTTCTACAACCAGTCTTTACATGAATATGTTATTTCGTTGGTACTTTAATTTATTGAATAAAAATACTGTTTTGATGTCTTTTCGCAGAAGGAGCTGAAGGACAAAGTTGCTGAAGGGACATTTACGCCAGTTGAAGACAAAGATGTTCTTGCAGTTGCTCTTCAGAAAAAACCCAATGGTAGTAGAATACAGGGTGTAGGGCACTTCATAACCCCAACAATGTACTTCCACAGGCCAAGTGTTGCGATAACTGAGAAGGAGAAAGAAAAGAAAATATGTGATAAAAGATACAAAATGATGTTGGACAAGTTTGATGAAATGAAAACTTGTATGTCGAATGGTTTTAGTGAAATTGGCAGTTGTAGTATTGCCAATAAGTCTAAAAAGAGAAAGGTATATACACACATTTAGTACATTTGTCCATATCCTATTACAAGTACAGTTAAAGCTAATGTATTTGGTTATTTTTCATTCCAAGTCCGGTGGAGAGGTGGATCAGCCCATTTGTACTCCTAGGAGATCTCCTAGACTGAAGTCAAAGCAGAATAATGAGGACGAACAACTTGAGGAAGGGAATGAAGGAAACAGAGATGTATACAACTACTCTTTATCTCCACCATGCATTTCATGTAACAAATTTATTATATTTCAGCTTTTGTTACTGGTCTACTTAATAAATAATTATATTTCTGTAAATAGAGTACTACGGCGATGAGGAAATCAAGGAAATCAAACTCTACTCCTCGGAAAAGGCTGTTTGAAACTGTTCCTAAAATATCGCCGCGGCGTGTAAAAACAGAGGCTTCACCGGACATGTCTGACGAGGAGGTGACACATATAATTACATGTTTTAGTTTATTAAAGTTCATAGTATTAGTCACCAATTTAATTACATGTTTCAACTTATACTCTGTGTTAAATAGGATATGGATGAAGATAAACAGCAGCCTCAGCACAAGGTTAAAAGTTCCTGTAAAGAGAAAGGAAAAAAGGCTAGAAAATCCCTTTCAAAGTATCAAAGTTCTAAGGAGGTAACATATCTAGTTACTAAAAAATATATATTTATAAGTTTTGTTACTTTAACTTTTATTTGTATATACTCAGTTATTTATTTTATATATCATTAAAGTTGGTATTATTAATCACTGAGTCGATTACATATTTTAACTTATACTCTGTGTTAAATAGAATATGGATGAAGGTAAAGAGCAGCCTCTCCCAAGGGTTCTAAGTTTCGAAAGACAGGATGACGAAAATGATAGAGAGCCTCTATCAAAGTTTCAAAGTTTAAAGGAGGTGACATATGTAGTAACTAAAAAAATCTATATTTATAAGTTTTCATACTAAGTTAGATGTTTTTATATGATTAAAGTTGATATTATTAATCACCTATTGGATTACATGTTTTAACTTAGACTATGTGTTAAATAGAATATGGATGAAGGTAAAGAGCAGCCTCTCCCAAGGGTTCAAAGTTTCGAAAGACTGGATGACGAAAATGATAGAGAGCCTCTATCAAAGTTTCAAAGTTTAAAGGAGGTGACATATACAGTAACTAAAAAATCTATATTTATAAGTTTTCTAACTAAGTTAGATGTTTTTATATTATTAAAGTTGATATTATAATCACCTATTGGATTACATGTTTTAACTTAGACTGTGTTAAATAGGATATGAATGAATATGAAGAGCAACCTCTGGTAGGGGTTCAAAGTTTCCAAACAGAGGAGAGCAAATATGATAGAAAACCTCTTGCAAGGTTTCACAGTTCAAAGGAGGTAACATACCTAAGTTACTAAAAAATCAACATTTTGTGATCTAAAAGACTGGAAGGAAGGTTGTTTACTAAGATTTTGCTAGAGCAGCCATATCTCTTGCAGAGGTGATTCATTTCTTGGGATGGTTTGTCATGGTCATATCACTCAATTACCGGTTTTTGCTAGATTAGTTCAAACACAATATATCTTTGAAATAATAAATCAATTTGGCTGCAAGTGCCGGGATAGCCTAGCACCATTAATTTGCGTTGGCTGTGAACAACTTTTTCTTCTTAGGCCCCTTTATAGTAATCTCATAATCTAAGGAGGAACTGAGCTTAACAACTGTAATCAAAGGAGGAATTGATCTTAACACTGATTAGCAGTATATTTAACTCCTTTTACCAGCTACAGAGCAATAAAGATTGTCATATTAATCTCAAATTGATCACATGTTTGAACTTATACTTTGTGTTAAATAGGATATGATGAGTGAAGATGAAGAGCAGCCTCTGAAGAAGATGAAGATAACAACAAAGCCTGACAATGAAGTGATCGAGGATAATCCTGAAGATCTGGAGAGGTGTGGTGTGGTGGTTGTCAAAGAGAAGAGAGCAAAAATGAAAGCAAAACCCCCACTAAATATGCAAAGAAGGACAAGGGCGGTTGCCGAAAAGAAAAGAAGTCCAAGTGCTAACTTGCAAATGTTTTCCATTTTAGTTGAGAACTGTCTTGGTGATGAGTGCACAATCAGCCATGGTGCTAAAATATTTGGGTTCGAAACTAAATCTGTGTTTAACAAGGATGTTTGCCGGTTAGTCATCAACTTTGAGGAGGTTTCAAACTCCATAATTGAGATTTGGTCGAGGTATGAAGTTGATATTTTATAATACCGAGTATCAGTTGGTTTATATTTAAATTAGGTAAAACTGGTAGTAGTTGAATTAACATTGCTTAGTAGTTTGTACTTGTTCTACTCGGATCAGTAGTAACTTAATACTTCATTCATATACAAGGTACTTGCACGAGCAGATGATAAATGAAGGAGGGGAGATCCTTGTTCAGTTTGGTACATCTTCAGCGGTACGAAAACCGAAGAAGCAAACCGTGCAATCTGTAACAAAGAGGTCGCAGTATATAGCCGATCTCTTAGGCGTTGCATTGCTCGGACAGATCACATTAATCCCCTATAATACTGGGTAATTTTAAATCATCGCAAAATGCTGTCTTTTTTATGCCAGAGTATCTTTGAATTTGTATGACATAATTACAAAATTGTGATATGTAGAAATCATTGGGTCTTGACTGCAATTGACATGGCTAGGCAAACAGTACATTACTTGGACTCTATAGGAGGATCTCCAGTAGAAGATTTGGAAAGCATAGTGAATCAGTTAAGTTAAAAGCAAAATTAAACATTATGTGTGCTTTTTTGTTCTTATTCATAGCCCCTTTAAAGTTGTTTTTAATAATGACATTTTCTCTTTTGTTTCCAGAGGAGTGAGGATTCATCATGCCTCAACTTCTAAGAATAGGATGAATCTGAAATGGGTGCGAGTCATGGTATGTGCATTTAATTTAAGTCTTGGGAGTGAAATATATACCTTATACATTCATACAATTTACACATGTGATGCGTGTAAAAATTTATGTAATTTATGTAACTGTGATAATGATAGGAAAAAACATATTGTTTCCCCGGTGAATTTTAACATGCTGAAATTTAGGTAGTTTTTCTTGATAAAGAAATTTAGGTACCTTCACTAACATGCTGAAACTTGGGTAGTTTGCTTATATTGTGTATATGCTTAGAGGTTTCTTTGTAGGAAAGTGCATTAATCTGGAAATACAATCCTTTCCATTTCCTGGGATCCCAACACCAAGGAAAAACTTGGCCAAACCTTAAATCTTTTCCCCAGGAATCTGTAACCACAAGTCATAACAAGAAGGAAAAATGATTAAAATAGGCCAAATCTTTTCCTGGGATTCCATTGTGAGTTTTGTTTTAAATTTGAAGTGATGGTCCTGTTTGGATTAAAAAATGCAGTGCCCGAAGCAAGCAGGAGGAATGGAATGTGGTTATTTTGTTATGAAATATATGAAAGACATTGCGTCCGATGTCAAACTCTTGGAACAAAATGTGAGTTAATAAGAATCTATGTTCTTTTATTACTTCTTTACTTCCAAAGTGCTAATATAATTTGTAATTTTTTATTGTAGTTCTCTGAAATTAAGGAGTACAGTGACAATGATATTTTGGGAATACGTGAAGAGTGGGCTACATATGCAGCTACTTTGATAACAAGTAAGTTTATAGTTCAAAAGTGAAGAACACAATTTAAGTTTGGTACTATATATGGATGTTAGTTGTCTGGTTAAGCGATATGTACTTATGAACATAGTGATCATTTTTCAGTGTTGATGAATGAGGCTGCTAGGAAGACTTGATCATGTGAAGCTGGCTGGGCGATATGTACTTATGAACTGTTATTGGCGTTGTATGTACGATGTGTAGGATGCTCACTTTTTGGACAAAACTATGTAGTTGCTTAGAATTCTATTAACCAGTAGTTACTTTTTGGAAAATCACTTTTGTGTTGGAACTTGCTAGAATTTTTGTCATGTTTTGTCCAGCATACCTAGAATGCAAAGTTCAACAACAATGTAGCCTGGAGTTTGACATGAATATTCTGCTTTAAATGTTCCATGTATGTTTGAGATTTATTGACTTTATACTTTGTGAGATTAGATAGTATTTGAACTGGATTTTTTTTTAAATATAATTGAAATAGATTTTCTAAATTACCCATGAAATGGAATGTTGAAATAATGCAAACCAAAGTGTCACCAAAGTGTCACTAAAGTATGATACCACAATGTAACTAGAAAATGTGATGTAAAAGTGTCACCAGTAGTTATGTCACCTAAGTATCACTAACTGGTGATACCGTAGTGTCACTAGAATATGTGATGGAAAAGTGTCACCGAATAGTTATGTCACCTAAGTATCACTAACTGGTGATACCATAGTGTCACTAGAATATGTGATGGAAAAGTGTCACCGAATAGTTATGTCACCTATGTATCACTAACTGGTGATACCATAGTGTCACAATTTTGTGACACTTCTAGTGACACTTAAAAAGTGTCACAATTTCCCACTTTCATTGACACTTTTTTAGTGTCACAGAAACTTTCAGTGACACTATTTTGGTGTCACTGTAGGGCATTTTTCTAGTAGTGTACGGGTTGTAGGAGGTCAGGAAAGAAAGTGCAGGGATGTGGAATTGGGGGTTGTGAGAGTGGTGGAGGCCAATCGGTGATTGTACAGGTATTGGTCGGGGTGGGGGCTGCTGTGAGGGGTGGGGGCTACTGTGGGGTGGGGGATGCTGGTCACATTCCAGGAATTTTTAAAAAAAGTCACTTTTTGCCTATTGCCCTTTTATTAGTAATATTCAAGACAAAAGCCCTTCATTTTTTGAATATGCAAGTTCCTATCATAGCATCTGCGAGCCTGAGATTTCTTCTTACGGTTCTTCCCATTCTACCGCTTCTTTATCTTTTCTCCTCTACTCATTGACTCTAGAGTATTATTTTCCGAAAATGAAAACTTTCTCTTCTTTATCTCTTCTCCTTCTACTCACTCTGGACTCTAGAGTATTATTTTCAAAAAATTAATAATCTGTGCCCATCGATTTCGCCGACAAATTTCCACTCGCTTTCGCTCACAGTTTTGAGAGACTATTTCAATCATTCTTCCGGTTATTTTCAAAATCTGCATTTCTCTTGGATTTCATTTAAAACCCTAAATTTAGATGAAAGTGTAGATGAAAGTGTTTTTTTCGTTGTTATTTTACTCAAGCATAATGCAATGACTCTGTGACTAAGGAGCAAATTTGCATAAAATTCCACTGTAGGGATTATGCCCTAGCATTCCATAAACAATATTTGAAAACCTGTAATGCTTGACTTTTTTAATCCTTAAAGTTATTTGGAGTTGAGCCTTTTGGTTTTTTAGAAGTGAAGCTCATCAAGCTAAAGAATTAATAAACAAAGATATCATCTGAAAGAAGACAATAAGCAACTTCTTTCTCTTTTATATGAAAAGCCAACTTTATTCATATCAAATTACAAAATGCAGTTTATTCATATAATTTCTTTAGCTTATAATTTTATGACTTGCTCTGTTTTATTCCTGTAAAAAGCATGTTTTGTAATAAAAGAACACTGTTTTTTTTATTTTTCCCTAGAATTCCTGCGGCTTCTTCGATTACTTCTGCGCTGGATCATGACATTAACCTCTTCTTCAAAGTTAAGCTTTTCCTCTTCAAACTATTCTTAAACCAAATATGGAGAATATTAGATGTGTAAAACAATTAGAGTCATATAAATGTGATAGCCAAGTTGGCGTTAATTTTTCTAAAAATCCTTTTTCTAATTTCTCTGTTAGCGAGTAATGTAATGGGTGATAGGCATACATATGTTTGAATGTATCCACTTCTAAAGTTTCTTGTGCTGATTTTCACGTTTCTCAAATTCACATTAATGGTCCACCATTCAAATATGTTTGAAACACCATTTTGCAAAGCCTATTTCACGTTCAATGGGTCTCTGTTTTTTCTATTCCTTATTTCAATTGAAAAAGAAATCTGGAGGCTAGAATCCATTTATAATTAAGCAAACTAAGTATCATGTCTAAATTTGATATGCTTAACTAGATATGCTTACTGTTAACGCATCTCCTATTTTTGCTCTCTTCTTCTTCCTCGGCGTTTGTATAAACTTTCTTTTTAATCCGACTATCATTCCTATCGCATGAGGTATCTGGTGGCGCTCCAGTTTGTTATATTTTGACTTATTTTCGTTCAAGGCTGTCTTTTTATTTTCGAGGGATCCAGAGTTTGCGATTTGGACTTCTGCTAATGTACTCGATAGTCCATCTTAGTTAATCTCCTCATGAGTCATGATTGGTTAGTGTGATCTCCTAATAGTATTTCATGTTATCTTTGACATGTCGTTTTATTATTTGAAAACTTTAGGCTAAAGTTATAAACTCACTTTTTTATTGCAAGTTTTCAGGATGTGGGGAAAAGAATGGTAAAAAGGTTTTAGGACTTCTTTTATGATAGTTTTACTCATTTTTCTGCTCTCAATATAATGAAAACTACTTTAGATTAAGAGGTTTTTCGTTTTCTATTTGTTCTGCATTTTCCTTTCCGATTCTTTGACAACAGAGAGTAATGGATCAACTTTTTATATAACTTCACAAGAATTTGAAGGAACAACCAAATTCTAATTGTTACTACCCTATCCCTACTATGAAAGTCAAGAAACGCAATGTTAATATACATTGCAAGTTAGATATGTGATCTGTTCCAGATTTAGTCCCAGGTCACTATCCAACACGTCCTTATGGGATTCTGGATTTGAAGAACTTTTCTTTCTTTATGGCCATTGATTTGAGAATCCTAAAAAGAGTGAAAAGGAGTTAAAAATACAACTTTTTTCACTCAGAGATACTATTAAAAGGATTTAAAAAATAAAGTTTTTTCTTTATTACATACTGCAATTTTTTCTTTTCTTTTTGGTATTATTATTTTTCCTTTATGTCTTAGCTCTCTCCATGTGCTGAGTCTCTAAACCAAAATTGTAGTCTTGAGAAGTGATGCAATAGTGTATATCTGCTATTATGGTGATCGTTTACTATTTAGTTATTTACTATTAGGGAGATCGATTTGCTGCCCAAATATTACAATTGAAGAGAAAGTGAAGTGTTAACGTACCTCATTAGGATACTAATGTGGGGTCATTGGCAACTTAAATGTTTCAAATGATTTAAAATTGTGTTATTATAGTGAGATGTTTTTTCCTCAGTGTCATTGAAGGAACACGTAGTCTTTATGCTTTTTCTAACTTGAAGTATGTCTTATTTTCAATATGTTTATGCATAGGCTCTTTGTATCGGGATTGAAGTGAAAAAAGAGGGTTAGTTGGAGGAACTAGCAAATTCCATAGAGGCTCTTATCGGGAGCAGAAGTTGGTTCATTTGTATCTCGAGTGGAGGAATGTGATAAATATGAGCTTTATTTGACTTTCTGTATTAAAATATTCTTATTCACCCTATAAGAAAAGGGTTTGAAATCACATTTAATAGTGATTTGGAATTATTTGGTAAGGTTTATTGCCAATTAGAATTATAATATGAATTTTTAATGTGATTTTTTGAATCTTTGTTTTCCAAATTTCGTATGATACATGTTAACTTGTTAAGTAGGTTTTGTGCTTCTTTCATATCAAACTTTGGAGTTTAAATATTTTGGATGGTATAAATAATCTCGATTAGAAAACAAAATAGGTGGCGTGATGTTTTGATAGTATGCGTTCTAGAAAAATATGGAAGGCTATTTACATACCTTTATACAACTTATAAGTAAGGTATGTTGATGACAATAAAAAAGTAGGCTATGTTGTTGTGGAGCATAGTTATATTTGGACCATTTAAAAGTTCTATTGGTAATATGCAACTTATGTGTCTTACTTAGGTTTTAGTTATTTTAACCGTAGAAAAAGGTTTTAGTTTATTATTATACAATATATTTTTTTACTTTTGGATGTATTATATTTTTTGTTAAGAACACAAAGATCAAGGAGCTTGATCTTTCGGGGATTTGTATTTTCTAAAAAATTTCACCGAGGGAATATATTAATATAAGGTTACTCCTAACGTGAATGATTCTTTAGGCTTAGTTTCATTGTGTTTGTGGGATCACAAGTGTCATCCGTTGTTGCACAAAACTGTAGGACAACTCAGAGAACAATTGGAACGGGTATATCTAAGAGTAGTTGTTCTGAGTAATTCTCTAACAATATGTTAAATATGTATTATAATATATTTTTGGTCTTTCAGAGTGGCACTCATGAGACAACTACGTCAAAATAAATGGATGATATAGTGGATCAACATCTTTTGGGTTTTTTTCGCCAATTCGCCAAGAGTGACTTCATCAAATGTGAGTAATACTTAAAAAATTGAATAATCATAGCTTGAGTTTTAATATTTTACCTGTTCATTTTGACTTTTGTAAACTTATCATTGTTTTGCCATTTCAAATTGATATCTACGGAGTAATTTCTAAAATTTAAATTGACTTTTTGGATTAGTAATAACAATATTTAGATATTTTTAACAAAAATATCTAGCTAACTTTTATGTTACCATTGAACTTTTGTTGATGCGACGACTATTATCCCAATTTCGAAAGGATGTTTGTCAGATTATGCGGAAGGAAATGATGAAGGGTCTTC